ATGCAAAAGTTACCTGCTCAAATTATGTGCTAACACAGCAGAAAGAGGGTTTTAAAATTGTACCTCTCCTCATATCTAGTTTGGCTCTGTGGCATTCAATTTTCAATTTTTATTTCAAGTAATTTCATGTTAGGAACACAAGAAGCATTTTATACTAAGTCAGATCATTGATTCATCTATCCCAGTATTATCAACACTGATTGGCATAGGCTCTCCATGGTTTCAACAGGATTCTTTCCCAGCTATATACCTGAAGATCCTGGGAACTGAACCTTCTGGGTACCTTCTCCTTGCAAAGTGTTTGCTCCCACCAGCCCCTCCTGACTTTTTCCCCCTTTTTGTTTCATAAGCTAGAAATCCAGGACATTTCTTAAGCCTCTTATCAGTAAGAATGGATAGAAAACAAATGAGATCACATCACACAAAGACAATATTTTTAAAAAATCAAAACACTGAAACAGTACCTTTCTGTGTTACTAAAGTGTTTTGCTTATTCTTGATCAAACTAGATTAATGTTTTTTCACTGATGGTAGTATAATATAACTGGCTAAATGGAGCCTCGTAAAAGTCAATTCACATTCTAAGAAAAGGAAGTTAGAAGGGTTCTGGAAACTGAGGCCAATGGGGAATTGTTGACAGAGCCCCCCACACACACGGAGGGAAGGGAGGGAGGGGGTAAGCAAGCATGTGTGGGGAAGAGATTATGAAAGGGAGGCATGACATTGTCTTCAAATGCCTGAAAAACCATCACTCAAAGAAGCAGCAGACACTAGCTGAATTTGCACAGCACGGCAACCAACCCTACAAAGAAGCTATGCAGTATGGACTGTCTGTGGGATGACTGGGCTCACCATGAGTTGTCACCCCACCCCACCTCCATCTTGTGGCTCCAGGAGGTATCCCAGTGGAAGTGGTGGCTGAAGCCACATGCCTCCTCAACTCTCAGCTCTTCACACCTTTTCTCACTTTTTTTCTCCCGGATGTTGCTTTTCATAATCTGTGAAGTGACAGTCACTAACTCCTCCTCCATAGGTTACCTGCACAGTACACTGGAGTTGTGCATGTTCCGTTGTATGGGAAAAATATATTGTTGCAGGTTTTAAAAAAAATGTTAGTGTTCCAGAGTTGTGCAAGTGCCCACAACTCTGAACAGCCAAAATGGAAAATCTGGCCTAGGCAATATCCTGGTAAGTGTCTGCTGTTATGCTGCAGCAGGCACCAGCCATGGATACTAAGAAATAAAGGCTGCAAATAGGTTATTTTGCTTGCCTTCATCTAACAGCTGTCAAATGGAAAGCTATCAAGGGAAAGCAAAGTCATGATGGATCTTTGCTCACAAAAGGTGAGGGTAACAATTTCCCCCCTTCATGGTGAGATCCTCAGGTTTTTAGTGTTCTTCAAAAGCTTTCCAGTGACCCCACCTTTTCCTTAATTTCTTAAGTCTCCAAATAGTAAAGTTAGAGACCATCTCCTTTTAACGAATACTTAAGTTTAACAGCTGTTGACAGAAAGGCATACTTTGTAAAACTCTCTGGCAAATCTCTGTTTGCATTTTGACACACAAATTCATGTGTGTCTGAATATTGTAAGCTCCTTCCATTCAGAGTGGAAACTTAGGATCTGTGCTTTAGTTTACTATTATGCATTAATTTTGAGGAGATTCAATATCGTGCAAAGTCTGCTTCAAAGCATTCAAAATAAAATTCAATCACATTCAACTTTTCTTGCTATCTTAAGCAAGGTGGCAGCACTCCACATCCACCACCCCATTCATTTGCCTGCCTGTCTGCCTGCCCGCCTGCCTGTTCGGCCAACCAACTGTTCCTTCATTTGCTTTGCCAGTTGACCGAGCTGGCAAACACTTTACTACACCCACTCAGCTGCTCTTGTTTTGTGCTTCAGCAATGAGACCCCACAAGAGTTAGCTGAACACATGCAAGACCCCCATGTTCAGGGCTCAAAGCATGGTGTCTCAATGAAAATGAGCAGCCAGCTAAGCAACTAGGGTGGGTGGGAAAAAGCCACTAGCAGTAAGAAGCAGTGGGATGGTCTCTTGCTACAACAAACATCACAGCGGAAAAACAGCTGGGAGAGGGGTCCTCCAGAGCACCTGCTGGAGGTGGCAGCGAGGCAGAGGCCTTCCTGGCAGAGGAAATGTGGGAGAAAGCAGTGTAATTCAACACTCCTTCCGCTTCTCTGCTTTATGCAGATGCATCAGCCTACACAGTGATATGACCTGCTCTATTTGCAGTTCTTATTGGAGAGCTATCGAAATTCAAATGTTTTCTCAAGGGATCATTTAGATATCTATTAAAGAAAGACAACTTTATGTAGACAGAGAAGCTGCTGTGTTGTATCACTGATACAGCATTACTCTTGGCAGAGACAGCTCAAAGCAGCAGTTAACTTTCAAATGTGTAACTGAAAAAGCAAAATAGTGTAAAAAAGGATTTTGAGGAGTGACCTTTTCTGCTCATCTAATACCACCTTGGATATGTAGAAAACTCCAAAAAAGAGATATATTAACAAAATTCACAATAGCATAACATACATCAAGAAAATTAGAACATAAAATTTTCAGGAGCTATCATACAACCAATTCTACAACCATAAAACAACAGCACTACAAAGGTTTATAAAGGAAGTTAACAATGCCTTTAATATTTCTATAAATGTAGCCATCAAAATTGTTTAGTTTACCAACAGTGCGATCTTACACATGTCTACTCAGAAGCAAGCTCCACTGGTAACAGGATACAGGACTGTAGCTAGGTATCATTTGTGATCCAAGACTGTGTCCTGCCTAACCTTTATGACTCAAGAAAGATCATTTATTTTTACAAATATACTATATTATAGGAGTGAGAAACCTGTGGCCCTCCAAGTGTAATGCCCTATAATACTCATGATCCCTCGCCATTGTTATGCGGACTAGGGATAGCCACAAATTGCCCACCTCTACTTTACTGGCTGAACTACAAATTGTAAAGTTTAAGCAGAAATGGAATAGTTCTCTGCTGCTTATAATTTGGAAACAGGAGTGAGCAGTGGCCTAAGGTGGTTAAAACCAAAGGAATTTTGAAGAACTCCAAAGGAATCTCTCCAGCTGGGAAAAAAGGCATCAAAATGGCAAATGCAGTTCAATGTATGCAAGTGTAAAGTGATGCATAATGGACTAAAAAAACCCCCCAACTTCCAGTATAGGATGATATCCAAGCTAGCGGTAACTGAGCAAGAAAGAGATCTTGGAGTTGTGGTTCAATGAAAATGTCAGCCCAGTGTGCAGCTGCAGTGAAAAAGGCAAACACCATGTTAGATATAATTAGCAAAGGAAATTATACTAAAACTGTGAAGATCATAGTCCCCTTACACAAATCATTGGTGGAGCTGCACTTAGAATACTGTGCACAGTTTAGGTGGCTGCACTTGACATGAATATTATTGAGAAGGGCAACTAAAACAATCAAATGCTTGGAGCAACTCCCCTATGATCAACAATTACAACAGCTGAGCTTGATTAGCTTAGAAACCAAATGAGTAAGGGGAGACATGACAGAGGTGTTCACAATTATGCATGGTGTGAAGAAAGTGAAGAGGAAGATGTTTTTCTCCCTCTCCCATAATACCCCAGTTCTAACCTGGGGTCATCCCATGTAGCTGATTGGTGGGAGATTCGGGACAAATAAACAGAATTACATCTTCACAGAGAGAACAGAATTATGGAATTAAATTATGGAATTCACTGACATGAGAAGGGATGAGCACTGATTTGCACAGCTTTAAATGAGAATTGGACAATTTATGAAGAAAATGGTTCTCAATGGGTACTAAATTTGATGGCCTACATGCTGTACACTAATGCTAAGGAATATGCTAGGGGAAGCTGTTGCCTGTTTGACGGCCACTGGTGGAAACTGGTTTGCCACTGTTTGAACAAATACTGAACAATATGGATCGGTGGTCTGATCTGGCATGGATTATTTTATGTTTTGTTCTCGTGCTTCAGGCTTCACTTACAACCTCAGATGACTCTTTATGGAGCATTCATAAAACCATACTTTATTGCTCAAATGGCATGCAAATTAACATCAGGGATACTTTTGCACCATGATTGGATTCAGGGAGATAGTTTGCTTTGCTACATAAAGCTCATCTCATTAAGGGTCATATAAGTCAAAGTCAACATAAAGATGTGTGCCCAAAACAGGTCAAGAAGTTACTCCATAACATTTATTGTACCCGGAGGTCCTTCACATGGGGAAAAAAACTGCCAAAGCCTTAACATTCTAAACCAGCCAGTCTCCCACTAACTTCAAGGCTATTCTACAGAGCGTTGGAGTGGCCAAAACCGCAAATTATCACAAAGACAAAGAAATAAGAAATGTCATTTACAGAGAGACACCACCACATACTGACTTTCTAGATATTATATTCATTTCAAAAGCAGCCCAAGTTCACAATGCTAACAGGAAAGCCACCCCCTTCCAGTCATGGGGTTTGACAATCATTGTCATTTTGGTCTTATTAAGGCAGTAAGTTACTCAAATATTGAATTGGGGCAAGTCAACCTGAAACTGTACAGCCATTCAAGAAAGGCAACAGCAGAAGAAGCTGATGAAAGTTTACCCCCCAGAGATACTGCTAAAAGTTTAAAAGCAAGTAGGAGGTGCTGTGCAGAAAGGATTCCTATTTTGCAAAGTTAACTTCACTGAGCTCATTCAAACATAAATACTGCAGTAACTGTTTGCCTGTGGTCTTAAATACAATTTAATAGAAATTAACATTCAGTGATTTTAGGCATGCTTGTTGCATGAAGGTTCAAGGCCTCAGATACCTCTTGCCTACAGAGACTATCATAAAGAAAAGCTCACTTGTTGCCCTGCATCCTTCCTTATTTCTCTCCACAACACTGATCCCTCTCTACCATTTGATCTTGACTTTTCCAACAGGAACAAATAACACTAACAGAGATGTAATCAATAAAGGATTAGCTGATTACCTCTTTTGGACGAGGCAGTGCCGCTTCTCCCCTCACCCCACGATATGGAAGTCTGAGTTCAACCCAAATGCTACAGGAAGACCCAGCCCACATTCGATTACACACGCCAAGCCCTAAATGTCCCTTAAAGCGAAATACAGTACAGAGAACATTCCCCTTTCGATCTTGCTCATTCTTTAGGGGCTGGAAAGAAATTCTGGCAAGAGAATGAGAAGCGGAAGAGGCCTATCGCAGCCTGAAGAACGGCCGCCCAGCTTCCCGCTGGGGCGGAGAATGGAAACAGTGAGAAGCTCCGACCCAGCCGGACTAGGCGGGGCTGAGGCTCCCAACGGAGTCCGATGCCACCGGAGTCCGGCAAGCCGGTCAGCCGCTCGGCCGGCCGGTAAGAACTTTCTTCACCATTATGAGCAGGGTGGGAGTATCTCCCCCCCCACCGACCCCCACCCTCCTCCGCGGTGGGTCCCAAGTACATGCGCGGCCTAGGTTCAGAGGCTCCAACTTTCTCCTTCCGCTCTAACTTCTCCTGGGGAGGCGGCCATTGAAAGGGGGAGCGGAGGGGAAGGGCGCGAGGGTTTGGAGCAGCCTCAGCCCGGCTTCCCTCTACTGAGGGGAGCGGTCGGCTCGGTTCCGCCTCCGCCATGTTCTGTGTCGAGAGCCTTGTCCCGCCCGCAGAGCGCCGCCACCGACACTGCCGTTGCCGCCGCCGCCGCTGCCACCGCCCCCTTCCTACCCGGCCCTCACCCCCCTTCGGAAGCTCTTTGGCTGCCGAGCCACTTGTGTCAGGCTCTCGCTGCCACCCCGCCCGGTGCCGCGCAGGTCCTCTCTCACACTCGCTCGCAGAGACGCGCTCCCCACCTCAGCCCCGACGCCGGGCCCCGTTTCCCCGACTCCTCTCCCCCGCCGCACTTTGCCATGGCGGCCTCTACCTTACCGGACGGCGCTGCCGCTCCCCGCGTCGTCCGCCGCCACTTCCCTGGGCGAGCCCTCTATTGCCCCCGCCCGCGCGCGCGCGCACACACACTCCCTCCTCGCTGTCGCTGGCTGGGCGAGGCTTGCCGCCGCCGTCGTGACGCTGCACGCCCAGCCTCGTTCTCGTTTCCCTTTACTCAGTCCGGTGGCGTTGGAAACGGGAGGAGGGGTGACCTCTCCGCTAGGCTCGGAGCGCGCACGCGCGTGGCCCAGCCCGGAGACACTGCAGCCCCCCCTTCTCCTTCCTTTCCCTCCTCCCCTTCTCTTTCTCCCTTCTCCGCAACCTTACGCAGGGCCCCATCCTGCTCGGTCTTAGCAGCCCGGAGAGAGAGGGAACTCTATTAGAGTGTGCCTCATGCAAGAGCGTGGATAAGAAAAAAAGGAAACAGCAAGCGCTGTGATCAGCCTCACACATGCGCTCCGCAAGAGCACTTCCTCCCAAAGATAGGGGAGGATGTGCGAGGAACGAGCGCACCAGCGCGTTGAGAGTGCGGGTAGGTTCGCTCACGCGAGCTTCCTTGGCAGAGGCGAGTAAGAATTGCGGTAGGAGGAGGTTGCCATCCTGTGCTCGCTTACTTGGGAGTAAGTAGCACGGCGCTGAATGGGACTTGCTCCTGAGCAGTCCCCCGTAGGATTGCAGCGTAAGCTTGCAATTCTGAGCGTACTTCTTCGTAGGAAGCCCCCTCGAACTTGGTGGCGCCGACTTCCAAGAAACGAGGCTGAGGACCGGGGCTGTCGGTCTTGCGTGGCCGTGCACGTTAGAACTCGATTTACTGCCTTCATTCAGAATGAGGGTGAACAATGTTCGCGTCCGCAGAGCCGGGCTTTCCTGGCGTCCCCGCCCTATTCTGCTAACCATGTCAGTATCCTCTTCTTGGATTCCATTCCTTCTATAGGCTTTTCAAGAAGGGGCAGCAGGAACTGCCCTGCACGCAATGGTTAACAACAGCAACAAAAGGCTTTCGACAGGCCCATTTTTCTTAAATCCGATGAAGACAAGGACTCGGCTTCTTTACGTCATATAAAATTATGTGCATCCCGAACCTGTGCAGAGTTAAAAGCAGGGGAGTTAGGTGCATCAGTCTGTGCAACATCACAAAGCTATTACAGACTACCTCGTCCCCCAATATTAATGGTTGGACTCTTTTTGGCTTGGAGAAAATCGATCTCCTCAGCCTCCAATCCAGCAAAAGTTAGCCGTGACTAGCAGTGTTACTCATTGCATTTTGCTGTGTCTGGTGGGGCTTATTCCCAGATAAGCATGTATTGCAACCCAAGTCTCATCAATGTAAGCCTGTGCAGTTTCTTAGGAGTAAACAGTTGAGTAAGAATGCATAGGACTGTGCTTTTATAGTCATCCGAGCTAGTTTATTCAGTTGAGTCTCAGTGGGTCATTACCAACTTTAGGTGGATCTTGGACACTATTGTGTAAAACTGACAGGAAGTTGCAATGCCAAGTTCCCAAAAAAGGGAGAGGGTGTGGTGGGGGAAGGAGGCTATTGCTAGCAATAAGAAAATTAGAAAGGCTGCACTTTCCCAAATAGCCTAGCTGTCTTCAATTCTTTACGTCTGGTATTTTGCTGACTGGTCCTAATCATGGTTGCCCTCAAGTAAATTGTCACAAGAATGTATGTCGTTCTCTTCAGATGTGGTTGGGATTGTACTATACATATACACACTGTTTTATATTCACCAGCAACCCTGTGTGATAAGATTATTATCATCTGTATGCAGAGGCTGAAAAGTGACACACCCAAGGCTACTTAAACTGTACATGGCTGAAAAGAGGCATTGGCTCAAAGTACAGGATGTTAAGGCATGTCCTCTGCCTCTTAAGAAACCAAGAAATTGTTTTTCCTACTCCCAGCACCCTATGCAAAGTCTCTGAAAGAAACAGTTTATTGTATCTGGGGATAATTGGTCAGTCATGCTTTCTCTCAAATTCAAACTTGTTGAATCTAAAATGCTTTTCATTGCATTTATGAAAAAGTCTCCCATTTTTTTAAAAAACCCTAATAAAGCAACAAAATTAAATTTGCACTCATCTGTGACAGCTGATTTTCAAACAGGGTCTGTGCATGGAGAAGACCATTTTGTACATATTCCTGCTGTTAAAGATGAGGGCCCAGCCAGAGACAAGAATTGGCAATCTTAATTTAATGCCACAAATATGGTTGAATACACAGGGATTCAAACATCAGGCCTTTAAAAGCTTAACAGTCAAAACCTCCTGGTAATCGTGGACAGTTTTCAGTTCTGCTTTTTTCCACATTCAGTTTTACTGAACTAGAGGCAGCAAGAAACAGAAATTTGCAAATGTTGCTAAGTTCTTACCAGAAATTGAACTCAACAATTTTTTTACCCAGAATTAAGTCTAGATAGCAACATTTCAGAAATGGCATTTCATTTTGATCAAAAATATATTTAGCACTATAATATTGAATGGACATGGATCCCAACTGCCATTAAAACACAAAAAATGTGGAATAGATAGCATTTGACACGTTTACACTGTCAGAGCTGTTCTGAATTTAATTTCCTTCATGAAACAAAGTACCATAGAGTAATATGTAGTAACTATAACCCTATGCAAGCATTCAAGTGAACATGTGAAGGTACAAACTGCTTATTTATTTAAAATGATCCTTTGGCCACTTTGAAGGCTCACATTTATGAGGAAGAAAAAAAGAAAACAAATACAATGAAATTCAGTAATACATATTCTGTAACACTTCAGTAAAAACAGGATACAGATAACAATTCAATAAAAACAGAAGTTACCAGTGAAACCAGCAATCTAGATACTTAAAGAAATGCTAGAGAAACAGGTGAACACACCAGCCCTGAACCTACAGTTTTAACCTTTGCCCATTCAGGGAGAATCACAGAAATGTGCATAGAATCTCCTCATGTTCCAGAGTGCAGATCTCCAGAAGGTTCAGGGTTGTTGGAGCAGAACTTACACATGCAACCCCATGACACTTCACATGTTCATAAACCATTGAAAAAAATCATGGAAGAGCACAATCCTATACTTACATGGTGTTAGACACAAATATACACCACTGCTACATCCAATATGGGAGGAGTTGCATCAGGTCAGGAAGGGAGGAAAAATCAGATCTGAAAAAATTCAACTGTTACAGATGTCTCCAGTTTATGTAGAATTCTAAAGAATAAACCCCCTTGAAGAAAGATTCAATCTAGTTTGCCTTTGTAGAGATCATGGTTGTTTAACACTCTTAAGTAATCCAGAAATAAAATATTCTGTGTTTGTTGAGTTTCCTTTTGTACACAAGAGATGGCAAAAGAGCTTGCTGATGTGGTAGTCTTTTAACAAAGACAGTTTTGGTAACTTTGCTTTTCTAAACAAGATTTGGATGATAACAATACTGTAGCAGCAGGAATCAAGTTTGTTTATCACAAGTTCATTTACTTTTATTCTCAAATTGTCACCTGCTTTGATTAATCAAATACCCAATTGTTAGATTTTAACAACTTCTGTTATCATAGCACTTTTAGGGGAAATTTGGAAAGATTTTTAATGCTGCCTGCAGTAGCTAAGGAAGAGACAACTCCTGAAATGATTCGAAATCCTTTGTTACAAATTTTTAGAAATTTACACAGCATTATGCAGAACCATACTGCATGATTAAAGTGTGCAGGAGCAGACATTTGTGAGGGATAATTGTGTTTGCTAGCCTCACTCATTAGCCCTGCCAAAGCCTTCGCTAAGTGTTCCTGGTGGTGGGAACCATAATTTGTCAGCCACGGCAACACTTGAAGGGACAATGCAGTAAGGCTGGAAAAGTTAGCAACTACTCCACAGACTTCCTAGAAACAGCACGTTGTCTACTAAGAAATGAGACCAGGATATGCTTGTGGCTTGAAAGGCTAGAGGTGAAAAGGGCATGATTGTGCATTTGGGGCTCTTCAGTTTCATAGCCATAGGCTAATGGACAAGGACTGCTGACTGCTGGTTTTCTGCCCGTCTTCCTAAAAGATACTTATTCTTTTTTTTCTTTTACTTCAGTAGTGTAATTGAAATAATGAAGCATTTTAGTGGTGTAAATGCTGGTATCTTACTTGGTTTTGCAAAAATAGAAAGGCTTTTAAAAGCTGTATAAAAGCTATATACATGGGCCTTCCCCAAGCTGATGAACATGTGGCCTCTGGCCATTCTGGCAGAGATGATGGGAGTTGTTACCACATTTGGAGAGTGCCAGGTCAAGGAAGTCTGAACTAAATTGTTCATCTGAAGAAACAATGGGAGAGAAGATTATAT